GAGGGTGAGGTTGGCCATGAGGAAAAGGTTCTTCAGGCACCCAGAGGGTGGTGGAGCACTGGAACAGGCTCCCCAGGGAGGTGCTCATGGCACCAAGCCTGACAAGATGCCAGAAGCATTTGGCCAACATGTGCCCTCAGGGACATGGTGTGAATGTTGGGCTTGTCGTGTGCAGGGACAGGAGTTGGACTGGATGATCCTTGTGGGTCCCTTCCCACTCACAACACTCTATGATTTGGCATATAATTTCAGAAATCAAGGTTTATTACCTTAATGTTCATAGAAGCCTTAAGACTCTTTCTTTTACTGATCACTGGGATGTGACAAGTGAACGTGCTGCGCCAGCTCCTTAGGACAAGGTAGACAGGAGTGTTGGAAACAGGCCCGAGAAAGAACTGAGCGTGTGCAAAGGAAAAGTAGAACCAAAGGATGCAGTGATGAAGACTTATCAACGGCCACCAGAGAGAGAAAGTGCGCATGCGAAAGGGACATTTACATATGTTAATGAGTTCCTGGAAAAGTAATGAACATGCATGTTTTGATAGTATAAAGCTTTTGTAGAGAGACAAGTGGTGGAGCAATCCCCCACGCATCCGGTGCTGCAATAAAGAACGCCTGTTTCTTAAGACTACGTTGGTGTTAAGAAGCTCATTCCCGATTTTGGCGACAACCTCATGTTATCCCTGGGGTACCAAAGCCACCAGGAGCTGATCTGCCCACCTGGGAGCAGTGAACATGGGTACAGTCAAACAACCTGCATATATTTCCACAGCCCCACCCTTGCTTTTCAGTCTTTGACCCCGCTACGACATGCGGTGTCATCCCAGGCTGCTGCCACCCTGGGAGGATGTGGCCAGCTGCTCCTGGCCCACAGCTGCCACCAGCTTACCCACTGGTGGGTGCCCACAGCCAGAGGACCACAGGGAAACATGTGCCTGGAAGAAATATATCCTCTGAGGGGGACACAAGTGCTAGGCCAGGTATCCAGCCTGATGGAGCTTAGCAGTGCTGAACTGGGAAAGACTTAGTTTTTAATCCCTCTCTTTTTTTTTCCTCCATAGTGTTTTCTACATTGAAGCAATCCTGGGACAAAAACTGTGTCCTGAGCCGATGGAAAACTATGTGGCATCCATGGTGCTGAGCGCAGTTGGTGACACGCTGGGCTACTACAATGGGAAATGGGAGTTCCTGCAGAGTGGCCCAGCCATCCACAAGGAGCTGGCAGAGATGGGGGGACTGGGCAATTTCAGCATCCAAGGTTGGAAAGTCAGCGATGATACAGTGATGCACTTGGCCACAGCTGAAGCCCTAGTAGCTGCCGGGAAAAAACCAAATTTAGAGCATCTCTATTCCCTGATTGCAAAGAAGTACAAGGAGTGCATGAATGACATGGATGGCAGAGCTCCAGGTAACCTCTCCGGAACGCTGTCTGGGCAGGGTTGTCCTCTTGCCAACATCCCTCCCTTTCCTGCAGCTTGGAGCTGTGGCTGGCCCTGGTTTTGGCTGATTACAGCATTAACTGTTTTTCACATAAAGGCAGAAGTTTTTCACCTGTTTCAGGATGAACTGAAGAGAACAGAATAAGGCAAACTGGTTTGGCCTTCTCTATGGTTGGATTCAATGATCTCAAAGGTCTTTTCCAACCAAGCAATTCTATGATTAACTACATTAAAGAGATACTGTTTTGCCTGCATTTATAAAACATTCTTACAGGTGTGTTTGAGGCCTGGCCTTGAACTCAGGGGAGGGATGCTGGCTTTTGTGCTGGGGATACTATCTTTTCCTACACTCAGTAGATGACAAACACAAATTCAACCATGTATAATGTGCACCCTGAGGTGCTATGTTAAAGCAACACATTTAAACAGAGAATTAATACAGAACTTCTTGTAATAAATGCAATAAGTTACACATAAAAGATATTTAAAGGCACAAAGATCCTTGCTTAGAGTAATTAAGTTAAACCCAAAGTCTGTTTTTGGCTAGCTCCAACTGTCCCTTCTGTGCCAGGACAGTCAGGCCACAGTCATTTCTTCTGAGCCCTGTCCTTTCATCATCTCTCTTTTCTCTGCATAGAGGGACTGGCAGTATGTGGCAGTATGCAGGAAGAGCACCTTGAGAGGCTGCACTGATGGCCTGGCCTCTTCTGGATGCTTGAATTAAACTTAAATTGGAGCTACTGAGGCTGGGCCTCTGATTTGACTAGTGTAGGCAGCACAAAGTATCCAGGAAACACTCAAAATTCAACAATTCTATGCAGAGTTTCTACATAAAAAATAAATTTCCTAGACATGACTATTTGGAGTGCCCAGAATACATCAATAATGTTCTGCCTTGACATTGAACACAGGAAAGGCCAAATCCTGCATTGCTCTCTTAGGGTCACTGAGCAGAGTGTGACAGAGCTGTGCACTTCCAAGGTAAACCAGGTTGGAAACTCAAACAGGAATTTACTCTGCTTACCTTTCCACAGTGGCCTCCTACCCTTGTGTAAAGGGCTATACTATCAGGATACTTTAACACACATAGCCTCAGTTGTTGGAGTAGCCTAATGAATAAAATATTTAGGAAGGTGTAACAGTGCTTACCAGGAGAGCAGGAATCCACAAATTAAACTTCCAAGAGACTCACTGCTGCTTTGGCCAAGGAGCATCTTATCCCCCAGCTGATTAAGGTGGATTAGCCACAGCTGGCAGTGAGACAGCACCTGGAAGCTGTTTTTGCTTCTGATTATCTAAGCTTGGTGACTAAACCCCGAGATGAAAAGGAGAAGAACCTAAAATTAAAATGTTAGTAATTAATAGCTAAGGATAATAGGATACCTGCTGCAGTCATTCTGTGAATAACTGAGCTGCAATATACCCAAAAGCAGTTCCCATTTGGAAGTGAAGGATTTTAAAGTAAATTTGCTATGGACACTAATCAGAGAGACAAGGAAAGGTTAGGTTTTTTCTAGCTAAACAAAGAAATGCAACTTCCTTAAGCTCATAAAATTTGGGGGGAAGTGGGGAAAGTAATGTGGAAAAAAATAGAAGCCTGTTGGGAATGTTGTTGCAGCAGCATTCTGGAGTGCTCTTGCTCCTGCCACAGGAAAGGTGCTTGGCTCTGAGAGTTTAAATCCTGACACTTAACAGTTTAGTGCCCACTGATGTACTACCAAGGGGAACACCTAATCCATATCCTGAAAAACCATCTGCAGTCTGCAGTCTCCATGCCAGATTGATAAACCCCAGTGTCAGAAGTTGCATGTCAGTAACTTCTTTCAGCAGTTCAGAGTAAATGGATTTTAACTGAGAACATAACCCAAGGTGATGCTGTTCCGGCCAAAGTTAAGTACTCACCAGGGAATTGCAGCCCTTCATGCTGAGAATGGAAAGTTGCTGCTGCAACTTTCACTCAACAAGAGAAGATATTCCCCCAGAACAGTGGGGGAAAGTCACATTGCTCACCCACGCAAGGGAGTCCAGACCCGAAAACCAAAACCTGCAGCAACAAAGGGATTCCCACAACGTTATGAGTCACCAAATGGTGATGGCAGGGTCCCTCAAGTATGCAGCCCCAGGAGAGAACTCACCGTCTTAATTCAGTGGTAAATTAATCCCTACAGAATCACAAAATCATCTTGATTGGTAAGGACCTTTAAGATCATCGAGTCCAATCATTAACCCAACACTGACAGGTCCCCGACTAACCCATGTCCCTCAGCACTGTGTCTATGCGACTCCTCAATCCCTCCAGGAATGGGGACTCCACCACTGCCCTGGGCAACCCCTTCCAATGCCTCAGAACCCTTTCAGCAAAGAAATTCTTCCTCACATCCCATCTCAACTGCCCTTGGTGCAACTGGAGGCCATTTCCTCTTGTCCTGTCCCTTGTTACCTGGGAGAAGAGACCCACCCCCACCTCTCTGCACCCTCCTTTCAGGGAGTTGGACAGAGCCAGAAGGTCTCCCCTCAGCCTCCTTTTCTCCAGTCTCAACAACCCCAGTTCCCTCAGCTGGGAACTCATCACACTTGTGCTCCAGACCCTTCCCCAGCTCTGTTGCCCGTCTCTGGACACACTACATCCATTATTGCTCTTTGTGATGTGCCACAGCCCCAAATTCATTGTTCTTTGCAGATAATGAAGCCAATGAATTAAGTGACACAAGCATGTCCTTATTTCTTTTTTTCATGGTACAACCACATCTGCCTCTACAGCTCTTCAGGAAACTTCTGCTTCAAAACTCTTTGTCTTTTAGTCCAAGTCCCCTTCCTGTGTAATTATTTACCAATGTGGTTGCTTTAACTCAGGTTTTTTATGTATATTGATTCATCCCAAACAACTGTTACTGTCTGTGCTCATGAAGAGTGTAAATAGGTGGAATGGAAGCCTGTTCCAGAAATGGCCTCTGGTTGTACTTGAATCTTTTTCAGGCTGGTTTTTTTTCACATACTGCTTTTTGCTTGTATTTCTTCTTTCCTTACACCAGTATCCTCCTCAGGTTCCTTTTAGTTTCTTACTGTTAGTACAAAGGATTTCTAACCAGGACTTGGTGGATTTCCAAACCAGAATTTCCTGATTCCAAAACTCCTACAGCAGATTTTTGGGGGTTTTTTAAAAAACCTGTTTTTAAAAAAAGACCTGACAACATGATTTCAGCTTAGTCTTCCTAAATCGGCTTTCAAATGCTTTAACTTTTTAAAAGCATGAGGATAATACTTGTAATATTTCAGAAATCACAAGAGTCTCAGCTGTTGTTTACTGATTTGTTTTGCACAATTTGTTTTCGTTTGCAGGTTATCAGTAGTCATCTCCTAAAATAGTATGCACAGGTTTAAAGCTGCAAGTTAATTGTTATTGCAAAATAACCGCTATTTCCTTACAGTTTAAGCCTTGTCATCTTCCTCATTTTCTTTTGACTACAATTACTGCAAGAACAATCTCACTTATTATCAAAGACTGAGTTGCCTGCTCTCAAGCTCCCCAGACATATCCCAAATAAGTGGTTTTCTCACAGTTTCAGCAAGATTACACAGTTTGTTTTGCTTTTGTTATGCAGATCTTGATTTTAAGCCACCCTAGTCCCTTTGCTCTCTCCCCTTCCCCTTGTCTTCCTGGCAGAAGGTCTGTTTTACCAGGAACGTATTAATAGGGTAGCTGGCTCAGATTATTAAAAACGTGGCTTTGTTGGGCAGGTTCTTTTTAATGTCCTATCACAGGTCATCAGTGCAATGCTTAGTACAGTTAGATTTTGGAAAAAAATGCCTAAATTTTCTGTTAATCTTCATAAAGTTGGAAATTATGCTGATAACCCCACTATTTTAATATATAGCAGCCAGCACTGAATTAATAAACTACACAAAAAGCAGATTTAGAGGCCTGAGCACATTCCTCCTTTGAGACATCACAAAAACAAACTCACAGGCAGTTTGGTTAGAGGTTGGTGGTGATCAGTCCTGGCAGAGGTTGGTATTACCCACGCCAAACACTGCCTGCTGCTTCTTCCCTCAGAGAAACACAGCCCTGCAGCTTTCACTCCGTAAACCACTGAGAAGAAGGATGTGTCAGGAACATCTGGACTGACCCAGGGGTTGGCTGGCTGTGTGGCACTGCAAAACCAACAGGTCTCATCTACTGGGAAGGGTGTGATGGCACAGCAGATGTGGTGAAGTAACAGGTCTGGTTCATGCCTGGGTCACGCTGTGGGGAATTCATGAGAACTAGAGTGGCCTGACATTATGGGCTGTGCTGATCAGCAACCCGTTTTTTTTTTCCTGTGGGGGGAAACTTGCATAGGACATTTCCATTCTCAATGTTGATTTCAGTTGACAGGTTTGTGGGGCAAATAGCCTGACAGCCACAGGACCGAGCTGCTTTTTCAGTTTGAGACAACCATTCATGGGGAGCTGCTCCACCCATTCACAGAATCACACAGAATCACAGGGGTTGGAAAAGACCTTTAAGATCATCGAGTCCAACCATAAACCCAACACTGCCAATTCCACCTCTAAACCATGTCCCTAACACCTCATTTACCTGTCTTTTAAATGCCACCAGGGAATGTGACTTCACACTGCACGGAGGGCTGTATCATGCGCTGATCTACTAACCGTGTAATGTAACAACACCGTTGGAAAATAAATACGCTAAAGACACTTAGACCAGAACTATAAAAGGATCCACCTGACCTTATTCCTGACAGCAGCTGTCTCTTATTTATTTTTAGCACGTATCCAGAAGCCAATCTTAAAGCTGTGCTTGGCTGTGAAGGTATTTCGGTGACAAGGGTGCTGTAAATGCCGTGTGTAGGTAAAACAGAGTGCAACGTGCCAAATCCTACTGCCAAGGGTGTACATGGAAGTGCAGAAGTGACCAGCTCTGCAGAGTATTTAGTGCAGTGATTAGCCAGCTCCAAGATCACACTGATTGAATTCCACCAAAGGTAGCTGAATTGTTGAGTTACATGATGTTTCCAGACCAAGCTTCTTCCTTGTTACTCTGTTCTACTTACTTTGACTTCCAAAGTAACAGAGCACCTGTAGGTTTATCAGCTATACCTGTCCTGGTTAGGCAGCAAAGTATAGGAGCAACGGTCTTAATTTGGGGTGCAGAGATCTGTGTATGTAATTTACCTAATATATATATAGTATGTATGTTTTATAGGTAAGTTATAAAAAAATATATAAATATAAACAGCATAAATTACATAAATCAGCAGTAGAATATTTTTTACCCCCCCTAGACTTTTAAATTATTTTCACAACCAGGAATTAGCAGGTCTGCTTGGGAATGTGCAGGATGCACCGGCAATTTTCAATAGCAGATCTGAGCAAGCTGATGTAGTTGCAGATGACCCTGCTTGCTGCAGGGGGGTTGGACTAGATGAGCTTTAAAGGTTCCTTCCAACACAAATCGTTCTGTGATTCTATGATTCAATTCAAAGCAAGAAACATGTATGAGCAGACAACTGATGTTTTTTTGGGGAAGCCTGAATCCTTTAGAGAGAGTGATGCTTTCTTCCCTGCTACCCTGCCTGTCTTCCTTCGGTTCCTGAGCTACGTGACCCTGTCACCTACTGATGCGTGTTTCTGTTTCTCTGTTTTACACAGAATCACACAGAATTGCCTCGATTGGAAAAGACCTTTAAGATTATCAAGTCCAGTCATTAATCTCACACTGACAAGTCCCCGACTAACCCATGTCCCTCAGCACTGGGTCTACATGACTCTTTTCTTTCCTCCCTTTCTCCCTTGGGCTCTGCTGCTCCTTTCCAGGTGCCACATGTCAGGAAAACGCGCTGAAGCTGGATCCCGGACGGCCAGATGGCTGGAGGATCCCGTTCAGCCCCCGGGCAGGAGGCTGCGGGGCTGCCATGCGCTCCATGTGCATCGGGCTGCGTTTCCATCACCCCACTGAGCTGGACACCCTGGTGCAAGTCAGCATCGAGAGCGGCCGAATGACCCACCACCATCCCACCGGCTACTTGGGGTCCCTGGCTTCAGCCCTCTTCACGGCTTTTGCGGTGAACGGCGTGCCCCCCCCGGCCTGGGGGAAGGGGCTGCTGGAAGTGCTGCCACGGGCAAAAGCCTACGTGCAGAACACTGGCTTCTTCGTGGAGGAGAACGTGAAGCAATGGTGAGCTGCACTCCCAGCACTGGGTTGGGTTAAAATAATTAAAATTAAAATAAACCTCACGTATGAGAGGGTGAGCTGGTGAGACTTAAGCTTCCGTAATCACATTATGGTAAACTCCTAAAGCAGCACATGCCTGCTGTGGGATCAAACCCACTCAGAAAGTGTCCCAGTCCTCCAGGGAAAAGAAAACCTCTAACTTATTATTATTTTTTTTAAAGTCAGATTGTGTTTGGGTCACGTAGTGGTGACATTTTTTTGGATCCAGCATGAGGTAGCTAAACTTGTCATCTCAAGCAACGGTGATCTGGTGAAAGGTAGGAAGCAAGGCTGGGGAACAGCAGCAGGCATAGGGCTGAGCTCAGTTTGAAACTTATAACCAAATGTGGGTGCAGGTCCAGCGTGGCTCCGTGCCCAGGGACACGCACATGCAGGGGTGGAGGTACGCTGAATTTGGGAGGATGACTCAGTTCTCACTCTGAGCCTTTGAATCCTGTGCAGCGCGACAGCAGCAGGTGCTGGGCTGCCTTCTCCCATGTGGCTGGAGGGAGGGGAAATCTAACTCACTGAGACATGTCCTCGTGCCTCTTACTGTAAATCATGTCCCTGGTTTGACAAAGGGGGACAGGGGGACCCCTGCCATTTTGCCAAGCCATCGCTCCGGGCTCCTGACGTGGCACCTTCTCAGCTCCCTCCTCACTGCACAGATTTTGGGTAGATGGTTCTGCCATGGGGCATCTCTTACACCCCTCCATCCCATCTCCTGTTTTGCAGGCGTTACTTTGAAGAGCAATGGGAAAAATACCTGGTGGAGAGAGGCATATCGGATGGGGTCTCACCACCCACCTTCCCCCTCAAGTACGGCGTGGAAGAGAGAGACTCGTTCTACACCTCCCTCAGCTACAACGGCTGGGGGGGCAGCAGCGGGCACGATGCCCCCATGATCGCTTACGACGCGCTGCTGGGCGCAGGGGACTCCTGGGCAGAGCTGGCTCACCGGGCTTTCTTCCATGGGGGTGACAGTGACTCCACTGCTGCCATTGCTGGCTGCTGGTGGGGGGCCATGCACGGCTTCCGGGGGGTCAGCCCCTCCCTCTACACCCACCTGGAGTACAGGGACCGCCTGGAGAAGGTGGCCAAGGACTTGTACCACATGGCCTAGGTGAGGGGCAGCAGGGCCCCCCCGGGGTGTGCTCACCCCACCTTCCATCCCTCGCTCGCTCAAGGTTTTGCAGACTGTTTGGAAACCCACTGGATTAAAGCACACGGGCATGAGACAGAGCCAGGCCTGATTTTTTTCTGCTTGTGTGTGTTGGCTTCAGCGGGGAGGTCATTTTGGAGCCAGCAGCGTGGGGCTTGTGGGCAGTGGGTGGGGGACAGCAGTCACCCAGGGGTTTGGGGGGAGCACACAATGGGGTACCTGCCCCTCGAGCAGCCGAGCCCTGAGAATCACAGAATCACCTCAACTGGAAAAGCCCTATAAGATCATCGAGTCCAACCATGAACCCAACACTGACAAGTCCCCGACTAACCCATGTCCCTCAGCACTGTGTCTACACGACTCTTCAATCCCTCCAGGGATGGGGACTCCACCACTGCCCTGGGCAACCCCTTCCAATGCCTCAGAACCCTTGCAGCAAAGAAATTCTTCCTCACATCCCATCTCAACTGCCCTTGGTGCAACTTGAGGCCATTTCCTCTTGTCCTGTCCCTTGGTCCTTGGTTGAACAGCCCCACCTCCACCTCTCTCCACCCTCCTTTCAGGGACTTGGACAGAGCCAGAAGGTCTCCCCTCAGCCTCCTTTTCTCCAGGCTCAACAACCCCAGTTCCCTCAGCCGGGAACTCATCACACTTGTGCTCCAGACCCTTCCCCAGCTCTGTTGCCCTTCTCTGGACACGCTCCAGCACCTCCATGTCCTTCTTGGAGTCTGCCAGAGGGGTCAGAGACACACGCCTGGCTGCAGGGAGCGTATGTGGGCTGGCAGAGATGCCCCCAGGCAAACCCATGATGGCTAGCTCACGCTTGCCACCCAGGACACCACTTGCCATCTCACACCCATTTCACAGCACTTTTGCGATACAGGTAAGAACGTATCACGCTACTTCTCTAATTCAGTTAACATTGGCGTTCAAAACTACCGACCAAACCCTTACTCAAGGGAAAAGTGGGTAATGAGAATGAAAAAGTTGCATTTTCCATCAATTTAAACAACTTCTATAGTGAACTATGTTCTTCTACTTACATCAAGGTTACTAAAGATTATTTGCTTCACATTTGCTATGGATAATAGTATAAAAAATATGGGTTTTTTTCTTCAAATCCAGACTATGACACAGCAAAGTACTTACTATTTTTCAGAGCAATTTCAAAAATGATGTATCCTGCACAACAAATAGACCTGACACGCCTCGGTGAGATGTTCTATTCTATTATGGGATGAATTCAAGGATGGGAGGGAGAAGTATGAAGAGCCAGAGAGGGTGCAAGCTCCAGCCTGCGAGAAGAGATGTGCTACCGGGGCAGGAGGAGAGTTGATGGATCAGGGAACAGGAGTAGGGGGGAGAAGCTGCCTAAAAGGGGGAGTGGGCTTTGGAGTTGAGTACATCTTCATGCCTAAAGGCATGGTGAAATCCCAAACCTGACAAAAACCACCAGCAATAGGATTCACAATTTCAACACAGTTTACTACATCTCTCAGGTGTCTTGTATAAAACATTTTTTTTTTTTTTTAGTGCAACATAGTACAAAGTTTTTGTTGGTTTGTGGGGTTTTTTGGGGGTTTTTTGTTTGTTTGTTTTAAAAAAAAATCCCAAACATTTTTCCACATCATGCATGGATAGGGTATCTCTCTTTCTTCTTGGGTTCGTTACAGAAAGTTACAGCAGAGAGAGTGGTTTGAAAAGCTTCATGATAAAACTCGTTACAAGAAGAGTCTGCTTTTATAAAAACAGAGAGAAGTCTGAGATTTGGGCAACACGCTGCCAGAGCAACGGAGAAACGTCACCGGCGAGGTACATTCAGGGACCACCGTGGGAGCCGCTTCCCGGGAAAGCCCGGGCTCGATGCAGGAACCACTGGGCTGGGAAGGGACCCGTTTTGGCCAGGGGGACAGGGCCACAGGACAACCCTCCAGGAGAGCCCAGTGCCGGGGCAGACAGGCTGGAGATGCAGCACAGCGCTCTCCCAGGAAAGAACAGCTCCTGACAACTTTGTTTTCTCTTTTTTCCTTTAAAGCTGAAATGAGTCGCAGTTCCTGCCCAGGAGCAGGACGTACAGGAGACACTACATTTAAGAGACAATACCCACTGTCTGCAGCTGCTGCTGTTTGCACCTCGTTTCTTCATTTCCATCCATTTTTCATCCCACTCCTCTCTTTGCAGACGCCTCATCCAGAAAGGGAAGACAAGTGAGTAGGTGTGTGATGCCTATAGAGATATATAGGGGTGTGATACTATGCGTACGCTGGAGCCAGTAAGCAGTAGGTCTCAAGGAGGCAGATTTTGTAGAAGGATGAGTGAAATTTGGGCTTCCCAAGTGGAAGAAGAAACCAATGCTGTTCTGGTGGAGGAGCAGATGTGGCTGACTTCGAATGCCCTGGCACAGGGTGGTCTGCAGCCACATGGGTCATCTTCCAGCCGGGAAGAGAATGCGTGGTACAGATCTCCCACCCGAGGCTTTGCCACCTCTGGGATATCAAGGCATCAGGGTCTAACCGACTAGTGCTACAGAGCATCTGCTGAGGTCCCCTTCTCTTCACAAAGAGCAGTCCCACCCTCCTGAAGAGGACAACGGCTGTGGGTATGGCACCTCTCGCACCGAGGCAGAGGAATGAGGGGGGGTCTTGCAGCTGCACCCGTCTGCCCCAGTTGGCTTCAGCCATGCTGCAAAAAATAAATGGCTGGATTTGCCAGGAAGACATCAAGGAAGACAACAAAAAGCCATTTTTGGCAAACATTTTCTTCCGCCAGACATAACGCTTCGGGTGTTTGTTTCAGGGAGGCGGCGGTTTCCTCCATGGGACAGGGCAGGAGTTCTTGGCATGACGGGGTACGGGAGCTGAGGTGCCCCACGCGACGAGAGCCCTGGTTTGGTTCACAAGAGCCATATCTTTCACAGAAAGAACAGCATTTCCTGCCACAGCGACTGCCAACCACAAGAGCAGGTGACTTTGCCAGGAGGGGGAGCTTGTGGAGGAACGGTTTCTCCTCTAAAGCCCCAGAAGCGATAAAGGGCAGATGGATGCACAGGCTCAGGGTAAGATTTCTCGTGGCTGAAGGGGACAGGGAAGCCCCCAGGGTGTTGATACTGTGCGGGCTCCTTGCCTTGTCCAAGCTCACGCTGAGAAGTAGTGCAAGCCTCAGGGAAACTCGTGACACGTGGTGGTTAATTGCATGTCCCCGTTGCGTGGCGTGGCTGCCACTGGGCTCCTTAGCTGAACCGTCCAGCTCATGGAGCTTCCCCTTTCCCCCTTTCTAGAGTCAGTACTTTGGTCATGTTGAAGTCTTCAGAGACTGGATCCAGCCACCTGTCCCCAGGCAATTGGGGCACAGAGGGGACCTGTGGCAGCATGGACACCAGGGGGGAGCACGACTCTGGTAAGCTGGACCGTACGAGGAACTTCTTTGCAACCAGTAAAGTCAGAGCTTTCATGTGTCCTTCTTCCATCCCGTCCTTCAGTTCCTGGAGACACATTAGATTGCTTTTGTCTGGACCACAAGCACACTGAACATTCAGTCTCTCCAAGATGAGGGAACACTCCCATTAGGTGAATTACCCCCTCCTGAGAGAATGGTAAGATAGAGGCAAGAAGATGCTGAGGCTACAGCCAGTCTTTGAGATGGACCTCCCAATATCCCAGCTAACTAACCCCTCTGGAGGTGGACCTGGCTTTGTCTGCTTTGGAAGAGGGAAGAGCCAGCTCAGCACACCTTAGGAATAGACCTTGTTCACTGTGGCACCAAGTCTGAGGAGGAAAACCACAATCTGTTTTGGAAAGCATACACATTGACTTCCAAAGAGATCATCCCAGGACCAAATGCCCCATGGGAGCTCCTCATTGAGTGGAGGGTGAGGGAAACCAACAGTTCTTCAAGTGACTGAAAAAGAAACGACAACAAAAAAGTAACAGCCCAAAGGAGAGCAACTGACAGGAGCAAAATTAATCCGTGAGGAACATCTGCTACATGTAGCAAGTGCAGGGACCCTCCGTGGGTGGTTGGTCAGGGTGAGGGGATGTGTTCCCACAGCCACTGGAGGAAGCCTTGGACCTTCCCGTCCCCAGCGGCTGGGCGCTCTGCAGAGCTCAGCGGCCAGGCCAGAGCACAGACACTGCAACAAACGAAACAAGAACAACAAAAACCACTCTGTTCCTTAGGGTTCCTGGTGTGTCTCTGCTTCTCTCTCTCTCTCTGCGTGTCCCCCCAGGTGCCTCCTGTCTCTTTAGTCTATGGTTCCTGGGTGGATGCTGAGGACTGGTGGCTCTAGGCAAGTGGGAGAGTAGTTGAGGTGAGGCTCTTTGATCCACAGCAAGGGGACCCCGTTCTTGCCCTCTGAGTTCTTGCTGGAGTTTCGGCTCTTGAACCGCACCAGGAGGATAGTGATGATCAAGATACCGAAGATGGGGAAGGGATAGAAGAACACAAAGTAGAAGAGGGCATCGTTGGAGCAGATGACAGACTGCAGGGAAGAGCCTGGAAAGACACACAAGATGGTCACATTTCATAGCTTCTCTGCAACGCACAGCCTACAAACTTCTTCAGAAACATAAAACCCAGATGCTCATTAACCCGTGTCAATGCGGGAGGTGGGGCTCCAAGAAAAATACCAATACTGTAAAATAGAGCAGCAGAAGAAAGCTGCCCAAGGAACTTGTGGATGCCCCCTCCCTGGATGTTTTCAAAGCCAGGTTGGATGAGGCTTTGAGCAACCTGGTCTAGTGGAAGGTGTCCCTGCTGCTGGCAGAGGGGTTGGAACTGGATGAGCTTTAAGGTCCCTTCCAACCCAAACCATTCTATGATTCTATAATTCTTGCAGGGCATGTTTCCCCCAGGAGTTCCTCCCATGAGTGCTACAGAGTCCTCCCTGGTGCAGATTTCCTTATGTCTTATAAAGCAGGGAGCCTTGCAAAGTGTCGTATCCCTCAGTGGTGGTACAGAGGGGC